CTGACATGATGTAGATCACAAGGGGACCATTAGGCAGATTTCCCGCTGGGAACGACTCACCCCTAATTGGACGTATTTGAGGGTCAGGTCGCCTGAGTTCAATACCTACTAGAGCTGCCGATAGGTGGATTTGACTAGTCCGTTATTGCTAACGCGACGGCAGCTACAAAGACGCCGTCGAAATAATCGTTCTTAAGGTACGAAAACCATCAGAACACCATCGCCCGTCCCGGAACCTACAGCAAATGTGCTAACTCAAGAAATGTCAACAAAAATCCAACCAACTCAAAAAGCTTACTTATTTAGGGTGTTAAAATTAATCATACTGCAACATAATTCTATGATAATTCAGTTATCGCGAGATACCGGCTTTCAAATGAAGTTCCTTCCGGCTGCATGCAAAGACTAAACTCTGTAGAAATGACTACATAGTGGCATGCATTTTTTTCATAAATCTTCGATGCCCTTAAAAGCTTAATTACACTTCACAGAGAACGAGCATAGAAATGTCCATTCATTTAACCTGAATACAAGTGTAACAACAGATCGCGTTCAGAATTATTGGGGAATTAGAAAACTTTTTAAAAAACGAATTATATTCCTCCTTCGAGCATAAACTTGGAAGAAGATGTAATTTTCTACCGAATAAACAAAAAAAACAATATTTTCATACATGATTTTCATGGAACAAAATTGACTTTTTAAGGGCATCGAACATCTATGAGAAACATTCATGCTACTCGAGTAGTCATTTTTACAGAGGACGATTTTTGCATTCGGTCGGAAAGATGTTCGTTTGAAAGCCAAAATCCCGAGGTAACTGAATTATTATAGAATCATGTTGCAAGACGATTGGTTTTAAAACACTACTTAACAAATCCTTTTGGCACGAAAACGCATTTCAGAATCTCGGTCAACGTTTCCTGAGTTAGCATACCAACTGTAATTGGGGATCGTTTGTTCAATTATGTGAGTCCTCAACAATAAATAAAACTGAGACGGAAGTCGTAAATCAGGGACCCACCGCAAGCGCATCGCCTCGTAGTCCGGATGTTTGCGTCAACGCGGATGGTGCGTTTTTTTCTCCTCTTCGTACGCGTTAACTAACGCGACGTTCTGAACACTGCTTACGGGTGGGCTTCTAAACACGATACTAAATCAGAACAGATGTCACTTATTATGTAAACACAACAGTGACAGCTTTCAGTAGAGGTATCCTGAAACGAATCGACAGACAAGAAAACCACTAACTTTAAATTCCCTGCCACCTGGTTAAAAACACTGGTCTTCATCCAACAGACCCACCCGGATCACTCGAAGGATCACGAACGGTAAACAGTAGGTCTGGCAACCGCCAGGTTACCCGTTACGAATTTACCTCTTAAGCATGAGTGATGTAAGAATTCGGCGTCAGTCCATGATTTGTAAAACTACAGCAGGTGGTCTTACATCAACAGCCAGGTGTTCGTCAACAATGTGATGGATGTTTATGATTACAACGACATCCACCGACGCCAACTGCATACCATAATGTTACACGACAATGCACCTGTCCATCCTTTTAAAGACGTTTGAATCTAATAGTGTTTTTTTAACCGGAATCTGACCTTTTAGACGACAGTCAGCCTCTCCGCGCATAGACTCCAGCCGATTTTCATCCTTACCCACTTCCGAGATTTCAATCCCGTCGAAAATCTTTTCTTACTTATCAAAAAACACTGGCATAAGGCGAATAAAAACTGCCCGTACATGAAAAACTTGATTTGATTTTGGATAATCACATTGAACAATCTACTGTAAACAACCTGACCATCTCCATGCCTGGAAGAATTTCTGCCGTGATTAATGCAAATGGACAATCAACAAAATACTGATATTTCGTATTTGTTATTATATTTTTTATTATTTTCACCACTTTATGCGGCTCCCTTCATTTTACACTCTTGAAGTTAGCCCTATTAAAGCGACTTGTAATGTACCCATTTTCTGAAATTCTGGTTTTCAGTGAAAATTAACTTTTTGAAGTTATTTAACATTAACTTACAACCCAAACGATACCTTTTTAAAGAACCAGCCTTTTTACTTCCATAAGACTTTAGGGAACGCAGGCTGGGCGGATTTTGCGTTATAGGGACTTTGTTGCGCTAACTCTTGACATTTCATAAGTTAACACACCTACTGTACTTGCCACGATCCGAAACTTTGGATTTCATCTTTCGGATCTGTTGAGATTCTACTCATCAGACGAAGTTGAGAAGATGAGTAGGCGACTAAAACTCTAATTAAACAATCAACAATAATGGAGATGACAGATTTACCGTCTTTGGGAATGGAAAACTCTGGGGGTCACTTTTTCTTTCTGGATCGCCAAGATCCTGGGTCTACTTAAAGATCAAACACCCGATGATACACCTAAGGATCCACATTCAGTTCTAAATCAAAAAAATTACTTGTTTTGTTGAAGTGACTAGATGCACGCCTCCAAGCGCGATGCTCGCGCCGTTGCAAATTATTTACACAGGTCTCCGTTGGGGGTGCTTAAGTAGTGAGAGCCTCTTGACTGTCGGGTTTTTCATTGGAATTTTGGGCGGTGGACTAAGACCTTCAAAGTCTGTCCAACAATGGGGCAATAAATGGACGGTAGAGCGTGTTCATTTGGCAGAACAAGTGTGTGCACACTTGATGATCTTAACTTAGTACGTCTGATCTATTGCAGGAAGTGAGGTTACGTATCCCGCACAAAGTTACTTGCTAGTACCGCAACTCTACGATATTAATGCTTTCTGGACGATACTGTTCTAAAGTATTACAGAAGGTTTTTTCATAAATATGAAAGTTTTATTTAAAAACACCGGCTGATACCGACATGTCGACCGTCGCGCTCAACGATGCTCAGCGAGTGCTCCACAACAAGGTGAAGCAGAAACGGTGGCCTGCCTGTGAATCAGTTTATAGTGAGAGTAGACTTGCTCAACATCTATCGCACTATCCCTTCCCCCCACCTATGCCTGGTGTCAAGAAATGGTCAAGAAGACCGCACAGGTGGCTGGCACGACCGGTTCCGCACCTAAGCACCTCACCACTCTTCCTGGTCTACAAAAAACACTCGACTATGATCTTAGCCAGCAACAACAGCAACACAGCGGGTCAGAAAGACTACGAGGATGACTGGGCAGCCCTGCCCACCACCTGTTTACCCAGCGAAAGCACAAGCGCCTCCACCGGCAGGGAACCAGGTGTCAGAGAAATGCCAACCAGACTGTGAGGGCCTTGGTTTGCTGAATCATGACATAGCAAACGCATGTAGACTGATTCCGCAAATGTGAGGAAGTAGCAGGGCAATGAAACGGTAGCGGATACTTGGCAGTTTCTAAGAATCACGATAGGAAGTGTTTGGTTAAAAGGAAAGCATCGGACATGGTAATACGGAACGAGTGATTTTCGTAAGAACGATCGGTGAACGCTCTCCACCATTGTATATTTCCGATCGAAACCAAAATGGCAAGGGGCTCGTGGCCCAGTGGTTAGAGGCGTGAATGTCTAACTAACAGGTCACGAGTTAGAGCCACACTTGGGGGTCGGGTATGACTGACTGACGACGGCTGATACGCGAGAAGTGGCCATTCCGGTCTTCCTTGTCTTTGTCGGTAATGCAATTCTGCTTATATCATGCGCCGCTGTGCGGCTGCTGCTTGGGTTCGTGAGACAGCGCGTAAGGCACAACGGAACGAGTGAGGCCCGTAAGAACGATCGGTGAACGCTCCCCACCATTGTATATTCCCGATCGAAACTGACAGGGCGACGGTTTCGTGGCTCAATGGTTAGAGGACTGGACTTCTAACTAACAGGTCGGGAAGGGGTATAACTTGCTGAGGACGGCCAATAAGCCAGAAATGATCATTGCAGTCTCCCTTGTTTTTGTCGGTAATAACATTCTGTCTAAATATGGAACTTACCGGTCTTTGTGTGAGAATGTCCGGGAGGTGAAAATTCCCACGTCCTAACTTTAACACTGATTCAATCCCCTCCGAGATTCTTCGCAAGGTCGCCCGTAATACGGGAGCCAATATACGCGAGCTTTGCCAGTGAAAGAAAAGCAACTTTAGCCCCTAGAACGTTCGAAGATTGACACATCCATTTTTAGAGCGTCAATCAAGCATGCGTTAGCCAAACGTCAAGTTTATTTACCAGGTGAAGCAATGAAACCTTTACGCTTCTAGGTGAAGGCATAATATGTAACCTCCTCCCACACCATGGGTGGTTGTCTAGAAACATTCCTTCTTTTCTTATTTAAATAGGTGTGGTTCGTAGCAGTTTGTCTGGTAGTAGGTCGCGGAAGGGGTAATGTGCTGCGTGGATTTTTACCTTCGATAGCATTATTGACGTTAAAATTGGGCGTACGGGGCTGTTGGGAGTTGGGGTTTTCAAGACTGGAGTTGCCAGGCCAGGGCTGGGTTGGGGTTTAAGGGTTAGGGTTGTAAGACTTGAGTTGAGGCAGCGGTTGCCTTAGGGTTTTCCTTAAAGGCTACGGTTGCGTTATGGTTGCAGGCAACTATAGTTTTCCCAAAGGGGTTACATATCACACCCAGTTTAAACAGCTAAAAAGTACAGATCCAAATTGTGTAATTACAATTGTCTTGCTAAAGTGTAACAGAATCCCAGGCGATAGTTTTGATAGGTAGCGCAAGGTTGTCCTTTTTAAAAAAATTCTATTTTCAAGTCTTAAAGCCCCAATTAATAGAACTAAAACAAGCCTCGTGTTGATTTACCATTTTCGAAAGTAAAGCACTATTTTATAATTTGTCATTGCTTAATATTTTTACAAAATTACCGCAGTTTTTGACTTCATTTCCAGAAAGGCACATATTTCATGACAACGGATAATTCTTTCCTTCAGCTGGGACTGATTGGTATAGGGCACTACTGATCGCCGCCGATCGGGCATCAACCAGTTTTTCACATTGCGTGGCAGAACATACGAGCAGATCAAAGGAACGCCGATGGGTTCGCCAATATCCAGCCTGGTTGCAGAACTAGTCCTGAAGGAGCTGGAAAAAGTCGCCTACGACCACTACGAACCTGCATTTTGGCGCCGGTACGTGGATGACACGTTCGTTTTACTTGAAAGGCACAGACTGGCCGGCTTTCAAGACCTGCTTAAGGACGTCTTCCCGGACATTCAGTTCACAAGGGAAGAAGAGCATGCCGAACAGCTGCCTTTCCTTGACGTTCTCGTCACACGCACACCCAACGGCGAACTCAACACCACGGTGTACAGAAAGGCGACTTACATGACTCAGATTCTCAACTACCACAGTAACCATCCAATGGCGGATAAACGCAGCTGTGTTAGGACACTATTCCAAAACGTAAAAACGCACTGCAGTGAGCCACAGGAACGAGTACAAGAAATACGGCATCCTCGGACCAAATGGCAAGGAATAGATGCTCGAACAGCTTCGTCATCCGCTGCCTTTGCACGCACTTACGGCGAGCAAACGGAGGAGAGCCGCCAAAACTCTGGAACTCTCTACCATATACAAAGACCGGGTCCGAAGCGATGACACGTATCGACGGAGAGCTCGCCGTGGGTATCGCTCACCGTTCGACAGCAACCATGCGCAACAAAATCATGCGTGGGAGAACAATCGGGTGTCGTCTATCGGATCCCATGTCGGGACTGCCCTCACCATTACACGGGAGAGACCGAACGACGACTTATCTCACGAATAACGGAGAACAAACGGACGGTCAGGAGAGGCGACCTGTTGTCTCAGGTCGCCATTCACACCCTGCAGGAAGGCCACGAATTCAACTTCGCGAGCACGCGGATAGTAGCGCGGGCCAACAATAAGACAGGGCAGGAACTGTTGAAGGCCTGGGTGTCTGACACCAACTCTACCAACAGACACGTTGACATACCCCCCTGCTATCACGCGCTCCGTACCCGCGGCCAAAAGGGAACCCAATTTTCAGCCAAGGGTGCACGCAGTCACGCCGCCGCGAGACGGCGTGGGACTCAGCTTATCGCGAATACCACCCTCTGCACTCATATACCCCCCCTTCATGACTTGACTACAAAAACTGCTCCTCTGATGTCACATTTCTCACAGTCTCTGACGGTAGCTTCCTATACGAGACCGAAAGCTCAGACTAATACACCTCTCCCAGAGATCGTGCGTTCATCTTCTTTACAATAAACCAGTTCTTTTAAACTTCGATGTCCAGTGACTTGTCGAACTAGGGTTTCAAGTTTGGGTCCGTCCGGTTGATAATGTCAAGTGGACTGATAATGGTCATCCTGACGGTTTTTTTGCTGCCGGTAAAGATTCCTGAATTTCTGCTTAGAACAGAACCGAACAAGAAAAGCTCTGTTAGCAGGTACATACATTACAATTCTCGACTTTGAAAGAAGGTAAGACACATGCCCTCTTCGTCAAAGTAGACATCACTGGAACTGACGCCTGCTTGAAATACTTTATACAGCACATTATCCGACCTAAGGCAAGTTCCGGACAGGAATGTCTTCAATCAGAAAAGCAACATCTAACGATGTGGCCATTGTAGAAGAGTCAGTTGGTGAAGGGAAAGTCCCCACACAACACACTTTGGTCAATTGCGCGCAAGTTTGAAAACACCACCGCCAGAGCAAGGACAGCTTTTGGAAGTCCAAACAGACATCCATAGCTCTCCAAATGTGGTCATTGAAGCCCAACAAAACCACAAAATAAGAAATAATTATTGCCAAATGCTGTTGTGCGTATTCACGCCTGCATGTTTGTCAATTGTCTTGTGGGCTTAAGATCAAAAAATGCTGCTCAGCAATGTGTATGCATATACATGCAAAAAAGCGATCGAGTTCCAGGAAGTTGTTCGGAAAGGGAAGACGCAGTCACTGAAACATGGATTACACTTGTCTGACGTTTGGTATTCCAACTCAAGACCCAGTTTAGCTGGAAAATGGTTCAGTGTTTATATTGTGCGGTTAACTAGCATCCGCATATCTATTAAGATCCACGGCTCCTGCCTTCACTGTTCACGGCCGTACTCGGTGCGAACATCGCTTGTCTACCCTCACTCGAGTCGTTAATATCTGTAAATTCATCATCAGCTTTGCATACTGACACTATAGTTTGGCTCACAGATTTCGCCGCACAAAGCCCTGTTTGTGCATGCGCTACGCGCATGTTTGGCCGCTCCGCCCGAGTAAAGTTTCTGCACAGATTACGGAAGCCATTGCGCTCGTTAATTGGCTACAGGTCGGAGAACCATGATTCGAGCGGCTCGCGGCTCAAGCTTTTGTCGCTCTACATACGGATTCCAGCATCAAAGTTATGCAAATCTCGAAGGACAGTCAGCTATTAAAATCTCGCAATTGTTTCTACTACACTATTGTTGAGATTTAGATTGCAAAGAGGTTGAGTCCTCGCTGAGATGCAGAGTAAGCCTGCAAGAACGATGCTTATGGTTCCTCTCATCCCGATCAACGCACTTCGACTTTTTACTTAATAAGGCGAAGTATATTAGTCGACACAGTCAGGATTTAATTTGTAGTCACTGCTTATTGAGGCAATTTCAGCCCTTTTCTAAAAACTTGGGGGTATGGTATGCAACTCCCCTGAGTGGTTTTACAAAAGTTCACCTTATCTTATGTAGTTAGGCATGGTTCATAACGATTTACCCTGCAAGAGGTCTCGGGTCGGATTCTGCGATACGCGGATTGGGTTGAGTGTCTGGACGGGCTATTTTGTGAGCTAGGATTTTTGGGCCTAGGTAGTCGTTTGAACTTGGGATGAAGGCTAGGATTGGGGTTTGGGTTTAAACTTAGCGTTAGGATTACCTGTTAAAGGTAAGACCACGGTTGGTTACAGTTTTCCGAGTGGGGTTATTTAGATAAGATCGCAGTTGGTAGCCAAACATTATACGTTGATACTGTCGACGTACGTATCAGTAGGTGTGCCTACCTTGCCTAGGGAACTTGTTATCAGTAGATGTGCTCTTACTGATTAAGGCGGGTCCCCCGTTCCGATTAGGCTGTTGGGTTTAATGAGGGTCAGGGTAGGCGTGGTTTATATTTTAGGATTAGGGTTTGCCTTTTTTGGTCAGGTTTCAGTGTTAGGGTTAGGATTTAGGTTCCCGTTAGTGTTACGTTTAAGGTTAGTGCCAGGGTTAGGGTTAGGTTTAGGATCAAGGCTAGGGTTAGGGCTATGGTTAGGTTTCGGTTTAGCATTGGGTTTTAAGATTTTGCTTACGTTTCGGCTTTTAGGCTTTGGGTTATGCTTTATGTTTGCGCTTAGGGTTGGATTTTAGGTTTAAGTTTGGGGTTTAAATTTTTGCCATTATTCCACCAACTTGAGACTTCCCAACACTTTCACTGGTAACTTTAAATTTTCCCAGAAACTTTAGCTATCCCCTACCAGTCCTTCCAGTCACCCCACCCATATAACTCAATTTCCTACCATTCCCGTACGACAGGGACCTGGCTGTATGCCTCACCATTTCTGGCTACCAACTGCGATCTAACGGTTTTCTACCATATCCTTGTCTCCTAAAGTGGGTGAACTTTGCCTGCTTCTCGGTGGTCAGACATGGGGTGAATCTGAAACTGGCCTCCGGGCAACTTATAGGTGTGTTAAATGTCACTTGCCTGAGTTTCGTCTCCGAGGGTTTATGAGGTTCACATTCTGCGGCACTCGAAGACAACTAAGATTCAGAAATGTAAATATGCTTTAAGGAAACAAAAAACTTCGTTAGAACTCTGACGCACTATGTTTTCTCGTGTTTTCCCCGTAAACACGCATTCACCCGACTGGTTGTAAATTTTGAAGGCCTAGCCTTGCTGCTTCCAAAACACCTTGGTGTTAGTCGGCCTCTGAGTAATTTTCGCAAAGCTACGCTGGGACGGACTGCAGTATTGCTAACATTTTCAGTGTCCATGTGTCGTACTCTCTTCAAAAGGGCATCATCTTTACATTCGGTTACATGCTTTTATCATGGAAGTGCGTCTTGATTGGTTAATATTTGACTCGTTAAGTGGAGACAAGTTTTATTTTGTCCAGAAAATCAGCTGCGGGAGGCGCATCAGAAGGCAAAAGTTAAGACTGCAATCACGATGCATATAGAGGGCGGTCCAGATGCAGTCGAACCCTTAATATTACTAGAAGCTACAAATAAATGGGACAAAATGTTATCACAAAAACATACGATGAATGTTAAAAATCTAAACCACTAGTTGCGACGTCGATCAACGGCTGAACTGGTTAACTTTTTCCCTACCCCCTGCTTAATATTCTTCATTCCCTTTATGCTGCTCTGTTTCTGAGCAATGAGACTCTTTGCTTTATTGCTGAACACCTGATTTTCGGGTATTCCCCATAGAAGGAAAGTTCACATCTTATTTCGTGGAGGTACATGCAGAAGATCAGCCCTAGCCCAAACTCTAACCCGAACCCCTAATACCTAACCTCAACCCCTAACCTGAATCTCTAACCCTGACCGCTAACCCCGACCCTTAACCCCTAGTCCCAACCCAAAGCGCCTAACCCCAGCTCCTAACATTAAACTCTAGCCCTGACCCCTAACCCCTAACTTCAACCCCTGGTCCCTAACCCCCGACAAGTTTGATGCCGAAATAAGGTCTTGTCGAAGGAAGTCATGAAGTCAAAAAGGCTGAGGTCTGGGAACCTTATGGGCAATCCCACTGCACCGTGTCGACAGATGTTCGGATCTTATTTCATGGTCGTACCTGCAGAAGAAAAGCCCCAGTTCATCCCAACCCCTCACCCGAACCCGAACCCCAACCGCTAATCTTAACCTCTAACCCTGACCCCTAACCCCAACCCATAACCCTTAGCCCCAACCCATAACCCTTAGCCCCAACCCATAGCCCCTACCCCCAAATCCTAGCAGTAACCCCTAGTTCTGACCCATAACCCCAACCAATGATCCCTTATCCCCATCAGGTACGATAACGAAGTAAGATCTTGTCGAAAGAAGTCAAAAAGGCTGAGGTCTGGGAACCTTATGGGCAATCCCACGGCACCGTGTCGAAAATGCTTATAAAGCCGCTTTCAAACAAAGACACCGTAACGAACAGATACGTCATTATTCTGAAAGTGTAAATCAGCGCAATCTGCATGTTCCGAAAATTTGGACTCCAACTTTTAATTTGACATTCTTAGATAATTAACTTACCTCAATATACCAGCTTTCTAATGAGCTTCTTTCGTACTGCATCCAAAAACTACACTCTGTAATAAATGAATACTTATGTAGCATGTTTTTTCTCAATGCGTTTCGATGCCCTTAAAAATTAAATTATATTTCACGAAAAACACGCATAAAAATACTCACTCGTTTGCTCGTTCGTTGGAAACATATGTCTTTTTTCAATTTTATACTCAAAGGATGAGTATAATCTGGTATTTAGACTGTTTCGACTTGTGAGATATTTTAATGCCGTGAAATGACCCTTCAGAAAACGTCATATCTCTGCATTCACAAAGGTGGCTTCTAAAGTTAACAATATGGCTCAAATCAACTGCAAAATTTTATGAACCCAACA